CGTTGAATTAATATTAAAATTAACCCCTTATAGTTTATTAGATTTTTTTGCTATCATTTTTGCGCTATTTACAAAGGATTATTTAACATTATATCTAAAAAAACTGAAAGTAACGAACTTTTTTTTCTTTGTTTTTTGAATCTGCAGACACGGCAACAGAATGAAGATTGAGAAACATTAAGATCCGCTAAAATTTTATTATTGAATAATAATAAATCCCAACGAAATATGCCAATAATCTTTTATTTTGACTCGGCTAGGTATCCAGGTAAAGTTGCTAATTATTAATGATAATTTTGGAAATAGAACAAATTCAGCGCCTATGTAGAGGTAATTTAGTATGACACGAAACTTGGCCTTGGGTTGGGCAGTGATAAAACTTCGCCCGTTTGTTGATTTTTACATTTCTGTCTCTTAAATAAAAACATTTGACAGTTTATCTAGAGATCTGTCCGTAGCACATGCTTATAATCAATAGAATAACAGTCGAGTCATTGCTTTCTAAATGTACAATATCTGACGGTTCATGTCATTCTGAACTGCCTATAATAACGCTAACCTTAATAAAAATTGGTAAAGGGTCAAGTTTTTAACAGTATATATAAGTCTATATATATATATGCTAATACGCCAATAAAAAAAGGAGTACGTAACTGTAACTCGAATAGATTTAATCTTGAAAGTATACCCACTTGAAGAGATCATATCGGAAAAAAGCTTCATCATCTATCAACAATTATCGATGAAAATTATGTTGGAGAGCGGTTCTNCCAATGTTCACTCAATCTTGAAGTGCCAATGTTCGGTACAATTATAGCTGTATCGAGCTTGAACTAAGTTCCAAATACCATGACATAAAATAAATTAATCTTGAAAGTATACCTACTTGAAGAGATCATATCGGAAAAAAGCTTCATCATCTATCAACAATTATCGATGAAAATTATGTTGGAGAGCGGTTCTTCGCGTCAGTATCGGTCTCTGCCAGTTTAAAATTGACCGCAAAACGTCGTAGTAGTAACAACTGGTCAATAGAAAATGTAATAATCGATTTGATTTTTACATTTTTTTTATCGCCTTCCATTCAATTGGACGTGGCTATTTCATTTTATTATTTTTGCGTTATCAATAATTGAACTGGGTTNATTCGCGAGCATAGAAGTGCGAATGACCTAGCGGCATGACCTAGAAGTTTAGATCATTACTTAGGATTGGGAAGGTCACCGGTTCATTTCCGGGTCAAATAAGTTCTGTTAACAAGGACCTAAAAACCCGAAACAATCGCAGAGTAAAACTCAAAATAAATTAAAATATTAAAAAATAGGGTAATAGTTTTAAGTCTTCAATAAATTATATACTGTTTTTGGTTTTGAGATGTACGAAAATTGGTTAGAAATAGAAAGGAGTGGAAGTGCGAATCTTCATACTCACCGCCTTATGTTGATGATTTTTTATCAAATGCAAGGGGAACTTCTGTAAATGGTTTTTTGTAGTAGAATGAAGCATGATTTAGGTGCCAATTAAATTTAATTAGTACCTACATTCACATATTTTCTTGTCCACTTCCTTTATGTATCCATTCATTGATGTGATATAAAGTTATAATTCGACAACGTAACATTTACAATAGGTAATTAAAAGATTTTTTTGAACTACATTTGTAGATTTCACGGTGCGACGATAATAAACCTTCAAAAGCAATTTTAAACTAATTTTAGATAATGTGCCAGAACTATAGACAAATTTTTATTCCCCTTTGTTTTAGCTTTTCGCCCACAGGACATAAGGCCTGTAAAATTATTTTGTGGATTATAAACAAACTTTCAATCTGTTATTTAGATAAAAAAGATTTTGTAAATAACTGTCTAATATCTATCTAATATGGTTAAGTAATTAATATCTTTTTGTTACAGGAATATCAGGCCAGACCTGTCCGCACCACCATTCGAAAGGATTCTGTAGACAGTTCGAGTAGTGCTCCTGATTTTTCCGTTGAAAACTTGCTGCTTAAATCTCAGCTTGAAACGCTACAATGGCAACTAAAACAGGTAGGTACTTTCAATCAATAACTAAAACAATACAAAATGTGACGCTAAAACAAGAAAACTTAATTTCCCCGTGAAAGAAGACTTTACCTTACGTTTACCTATATAGATATAGGAAATATCGGAGTCGGCGACAGACACGAACATGGACCAGTAGTAACATTGGCTTGTCAATATTAGACCAAGTGCCAAGTTTATGTAGTACTGGGCAACTAAGTATAGGTTTGTCAATACTGGATCAATGTTTGCCCAATATTCAAATATTAAGGTGTAGCGAGCAACCAAGTGTAAGTTTGTCCATACCAGACCAATGTTCGCCTAATCATTATGTGCCACGGTTCGGTACATTGACGTATTATTAAAATTGGTGTAATACTGTGCAACTAAGTATAGGTTTGTCAACATTGAACCAATGTTCGCCTAAATAGTGAACAACTAAGTATAGGTGTGTCAATACTGGATCAATGTTCGCCCAATCTTTAAATATCAAAGTGTAGTAGTGAGCATATAAGTATAGGTTTGTCAATACTAGAACATTGTTCGCCCAATCTTTAAGTGCCAAGGTTCGGTAAATTGTCGTTTTGCTAAGATTGGTCTAGTACTGGGCAACTAAGTATAGGTTTGTCAATATTGGACCAATGTTCACACAATCTTCAAGTACCAAGTTTCAGTACATCAACATCTTGCTAAGTTTGGTCCAGTAGTAAGCAACCAGGTATAGGTTTGTCTAACCTTTAAATATCAAGGGGTAATGAGCAATCAATTATAGTTTTGTCAATTCCAGTCCAATGTTCACTCAATCTTGAAGTGCCAATGTTCGGTACAATTATAGCTGTATCGAGCTTGAACTAAGTTCCAAATACCATGACATAAAATAAATATATACAAAATATTTTCGAACTGGTTAATAATTACCTATTATTAAATAATATTCAGTTATAAGTACAGCTGTCTTTTGTTGATTTTTTTCAAAACGGCGTTTCCTCTTTATTGGAAAAATGTGTCAAAGGTCGTTCATAAAATGAGTTCGTAAATAAAGGGGAGGGAGGGATATTGCTTAGAGTGACGAGATATGACGAAGGCCGGATTGAGGTCTAAGGAAATGTGACTTTCGCAGTTTATCAATTTTATTTTACTTGTTCATAACTTGGCAGTCCTTAAAATTTTTTATTACTATGGAATGTCATTCTCAAGTATAACTATATACAATATATACAAAAATTATTGTTTCAATTTTTTTTATGCACAAGAAATCGTTTATAGGGGGTTGGCTAGCTTTTGTGACGTATTATTTGTTAGGGGGGGGGGGTTGCTGAAAATGTGACAGCGTGATGAAAAGGATGGGAGGGGTCCTAAAAGGAGAAATTCTGAGTGTCGTATTTTATGGATTGACCCTTGTTTTTCATTAGAAAAATTATTCTGTGTATGGAAACTTGGAAAAAAATTTTAACAATTCTTGCTAAACAGATGTGTTACATAATGTAGAAAGTTTTACCAATAATTGCACATTGCTCAACTAAAGCTCCTTTTAAAAATTAATAGCGGGTATTGTGTGCAAATTCAGTAAAAATTGCGTGCTGCATTTACCTATTTCTCACTACAAATTCTTGTTTTAACAAAAAAACTGTTTAGGATTGTTTTGAAAACAGTTATTCAATAATTAACAGGAAAACAAATTAAACAATAAACAATACTATTAAAATCAGTGAATAATAAAATATATTATATTAGATTTGTGGTAGGTAACATTTATTTTTAGTATAAGATTACTTAAGCTTACATTACAGGGCATTGAAAAAGTAAGTTTATTTTTCGTTTTCATCTGAGAAATAAATTGTCACAAACATTTTCATTTGCGTATTCAGAAATTACAAACGATTTCTACTCTATTGAGTACCCGGAGTCTATTTTACTATGGATTATAAAAAAATGGTGGCTTAAGTAATGAAATAATTACTAATTAATTAATTAGTCACAAACAATATCATTTACACACAAACGTTCTCAAACGTTTGGCTTAGGTGAATGTCTAAAAATTTGGTTTTTAATTTTTAATGTTATTTAATTATACGTGGACGAATTTTTTATTGAGGCTAGAAATAATCACAGAAATTATAATCGATACTGATTAATAACCTTTGTTATTATTTGTAGCCTTGATAAAGCTTTCACACCAAAAGGCGAAGCATGTGTGTTAGTTTAGGAAAGAAACCTCATTTACCCCTCCATTGGCTTTGATTCAGCAAGTAAAATGAGAGGAAGAAATGGAAGCATGATTAAAGCGAGATCTGTATATTGAAATTACTTACAAAAAACTATAATGAATAAATGATGAATGCATTTGGACATTTTGGAAATTTACCCCGTCATGAAAAATACATAAGTATTACGTGATGTCATTTCAGTATATTTACTAGCGTTAGTTTTTAATTTAAACTGTAATTTTTTTATAGTATTTCTAATGATTCGGATCATTAATTTCAGAATTATCTATTTTTCTTTAATTTTAGACAGAGGAAAGCAGACAGATGTACCAAGCAGTTATGAAACAAGTGGTGGCTTTTTTAGAAAGGGCGCATCGAAGTTTGGAACATTTAGGGACAAGGCTTATCAACAATGGCAAACAGAATGTGGTCAGATCTCTAAGTCAACATGAAGTCAGTGCAAGTTCAGAAGAACAGCATCAACCGCAAGATGCTTTAGAGAAAAGCAACAAAGATCATACAGCTTACAGGGATTTTACATGGTATGTATATTTCAGCTTAGTAGGTGGTTGAAATGAAACTTGTAAAAGTTTTTTTTATCGAGTAATGCGTTATCTTTATGAATCTTAAAATTTAAAGTTTTTTATTTCTCATTTGTTGCAGGAGAAGACGAAAAAAGGAACAAGCTTCTCCTGAAGAAATCCCTCCAGAAAAATTATCCCAGGAAGCATTTCGTCTCCTGCGTACTGCCGAATCCTTGCTCAACACTCGCGAACCCGATCTCGTTCACTTAGCTACCATAACCACTAATCGATCTCCATCTCCAGCAACAAGCGCTCATCACTATGATAGCAGTTTCAGTAGTCCAGAAAAGCACTTCCAAAGGCCCCCTTTTGCCGCCTCCAGTCCCCAATTAGCCTGCTCGGAAGGCTCTCTGAGCAGAAAAGCCGTACTGCGAAGACAACATGCTCTGAAATGTAATTCCTTCCATGCAGAAACGCTGTCCAACAAATCGTCTGATTCCCACGATTTTGATCCCAAAGACTTCGTATTTGCAAATGAAATCAGAACAAATTCAAGTAGAAGAGCCAGTATTTCTTCTCAACGGTCTTCCGCGATAAATGTAAAGAAGAGAACGGAGCCAGAGACTTCTGTCACTCCTCCAATGAGTAGTGTGAGCTCAGCAGAAGACGAGAGTGGATTCTCTTCGATGAATTCGTTCCAGGAGCTTGGAATTCCTGTTGTTTCATACGAGGAAGTTGGAAATAAGTCTAAAGAAGCACTTTTAAGAAGTATGCTGCACGATAACAACACCAGGCAGAATTCTAACCAGAAGAAACCGTCCCAGGAGGATAGAAAGTTATGGCAAACACCTGATAACAGTTGTATGCACAAAAGGTGGAATTCGTCGCCAGTTGAAGGAAAAGTGGAAATGAATAAGCCATTAAAAGTTCTATGGGTTTAAAGAAAATATCGCCATTTACTGATTTGCTAAATAAATAGATAGTCTCTTAGAATTACGGCGGTAGGAAGTGCCTTTTAGGATTAATATAGCATTCGGCACACACGTCATTTTTGTTAATTAATTTTCGATATTTCAAAGTAATACTTTTCAGCAAAGTATTCTTTCAGTATTATCAATAAAGTGATGATTTATTTAGATATTTTGCTAATAAAATGTCAAATATTAAATCATAAATTATTCGTTTAAGAATTTACATATTAGCAAAGTTTGCTATTAGATATTATTTATTCGTTTATTTCTTAATTCATTAATTGAAATCTTCTATTTATTTATTAATGTATCTGTAGAAACTTTTAACTACAGTAAGAAAAGTAATTTTGTTTTGTGGTTTAATTTTCACGGAATGAAAGAGGAGAATGAAATACAATTTCTTCTTTAATTGTTAATATTATTTATTAATCAATGTTGGTGTGCTCACAATTGTTTAATGCATTCAATACATACTGCCCAATATTTTTTTCTTAATTTCAATAATAAACAATACAAGTGATAAAGTATTACTCCATAAAACATGTAATTGTACTGTTACTGCATAAAAACTGTAAAAAATTATAAACATTGAGTGGAATGCATAAAGTTGAAAGCTTGGTTTGGTCTCAAATTTTTGTTGCGTACATTCTGAGTGCTTACTTTCAAAAATAAGAGTGTCCTTATAAGTAGTTACAGTCTTAATAGAAGGATAAGTGTTTATGTGCAGGTGCTTGCTACTAAAGAGACTTAGTCTGTATTCAAAGATCAGTTAAATCCTCAAAAACAGAGAATAGATGCACATGTTTGTGATTTTACTCATTATTATGTAAACTAGCTATTTAAGAAATGTGAGACTGCATTATTCACTCAACCTTACTCTTGTCACCCATTATGTTAAATAATATACGGACATAATGTACATTTTGTTATATTAATCATACAGATTTTGACCTTTAAATTGCTTACTATGTTTGTAACAGTACTCCCCTAATAAATTTTTAATATCCTAAATTATCTCGTCCAATTTATAGCATTTAATTAAATATGGTGTCTTCAGTTGTAAATATTAGTAGTTCGAAACTTTTTTACCAATAAGTTCTTACAATTTGTAATTAATTAATAAACTTTCATGGTATGAATGTCTATTTGTAAATAAATACGAAGCTTCAACAATTTATTTGTAATTTGATGTATATCACTTATTTAATTTATAACATTATTTATAAATAAACTCTTTCAACAGATTCATGTATATTAATTACATCCAACCCTCTTAAAGGCATGCATTTTCTTCAATAACGTGAGTGTAATTAGACAATCATATAAAATCAGCATAAAAGGTTCTTGTAATTTGTGGAAATGATAAGTGCCGCCTCAAAAAATCAAATTCCATCAGTCCAATCAATTTCGTCAAATTATTTGGTGATTAGACCTCGTATAGGTCGAGAAACATAAATTTTCGAACCTTTGTATTAGGAGAGCATAAGTGGCAACCGGTCTTTTTTCGTCATATTATTTGTTGACCAGACCTCGTATAGGATGAAAATTTCCCGTAAATTATTAGATAAAAAAGACCCACAGCCACTTATGCTCTCCTAATACAAAGGTTCGAAAATTTAAGTTTCTTGATCTATACAAGGTCCGATCAACAAATAATTAGACAAAAAAAGATCTGAAGCCACTTATGCTCTCCTGATACAAAGGTTCGAAATTTTAAGTTTTTCGATCTATACGAGGTCTAACCAACAAATAATTTGATGAAAAAAGACCGGATGCCATTTATGCTCTCCTGATACAAAGGTTCGAAAATTTAAGTTTCTCCTATACGTTGTTGTTGGAATTTGATCTTTTTGAGGAGGCACTTATCATTTCCACATATTGCAAGAACTTTTTTAAATTTCTAGATTATTTACTTGTTTATTCCATAAAGGGGAGTAAACTTCTTTTAAGAAATGAAATTACAATGAACAGAGTGGTAAAAAATAAATAAAACAATTTCTGAACTTCATATATTTAATTATTTATTGATAAATTGTAAAAAGATTACTTTTACAAACACTGATCATTAAGTTAAACATAAAAACATATGAAATAGTTTTTATTTGACATTTTAAAGATATATGTATGTATGTATAGGTACATAAATAAAATAAACTATATAATACCACAACAGTAAGATATCTTTATTACAGTA